AAATTTATATATTTCTGATATTAGTAGTATTTTAATTTAAAATTTTTGATTATGAGTTATAAAAGCATTGCAAAATAATATAAATTAAATAAATAAATAAATAAATAATTCCTTGATTAATTAGATATGTGCAAGATTTTTAATTTAAAAATTCTATAATAAATTAGATTTTTTATTGATATTTATTAACAACATTTAAGAATATAAAATATTAATTTAAAATATTTATAAAACTCTTTTTCAATTTTTAAAAATTTATTCGCTTTGCATTTAATTAATTATCATTTTTTATCATATCACAATAAAGGTAGGCCTAATTTAGCTCTTTCCTAATTCCAAAATTCTATTGAGTTTTTATCAGGTTGTTTTTATCTTCTAGGTTCATTTGTTTTGGATTGTGATATTTTGAATTATAAAAACTAATTAATAACAATAAAGCTCTTTTTTCTTTTTCTTTTCATTTTGCTTGATTTTTTTTGTTTTTTCTTTGTTAATTTATTTAGCTCATCCTTTTATTTTCAAATCTTTTACTTTTATTATTAATTAATTAATCTTATTATTTCATATTTTTTCTTCATTTTTTCCTTCTAATTAACTATTTAATGATATATTTTTTCTTCAATATTTAAAAAGTAGTAATGGAATTGGTGACAAAGGTGCATCAGACTTAAGTTCTGGTTTAGTAAATTGCATTAATCTCTCAAATTTGACACTTGGCCTTAGGTAAAAACAGTTCATTTGTTTTGGATTGTGATATTTTGAATTATAAAAACTAATTAAAAACAATAAAGCTCTTTTTTCTTTTTCTTTTCATTTTGCTTGATTTTTTTTGTTCTTTCTTTGTTAATTTATTTAGCTCATCCTTTTATTTTCAAATTTTCTACTTTTATTATTAATTAATTAATCTTATAATTTCATATTTTTTCTTCATTTTTTCCTTCTAATTAACTATTTAATGATATATTTTTTCTTCAATATTTAAAAAGTTACAATGAAATTGGTGACAAAGGTGCATCAGGCTTAGGTTCTGGTTTAGCAAATTGCATTAATCTCTCAAATTTGACACTTGACATTACGTAAAAACAGTTCATTTGTTTTGGATTGTGATATTTTGAATTATAAAAACTAATTAAAAACAATAAAGCTCTTTTTTCTTTTTCTTTTCATTGTGCTTGATTTTTTTTGTTCTTTCTTTGTTAATTTATTTAGTTCGTCCTTTTATTTTCAAATTTTCTACTTTTATTATTAATTAATTAATCTTATTATTTCATATTTTTTCTTCATTTTTTCCCTCTAATTAACTATTTAATGAAATATTTTTCTTCAATATTTAAAAAGTAGTAATAAAATTGGTGAAAAAGGTGCATCAGACTTAGGTTCTGGTTTAGCAAATTGTATTAATCTCTCAAATTTGACACTTAACATTAAGTAAAAACAGTTCATTTGTTTTGGATTGTGATATTTTGAATTATAAAAACTAATTAAAAACAATAAAGCTCTTTTTTCTTTTTCTTTTCATTTTGCTTGATTTTTTTTGTTCTTTCTTTGTTAATTTATTTAGCTCATCCTTTTATTTTCAAATCTTTTACTTTTATTATTAATTAATTAATCTTATTATTTCATTATTTTTTCTTCATTTTTTCCTTCTAATTAACTATTTAATGATATTTTTTTCTTCAATATTTAAAAAGTGGTTATATAATTGGTGACAAAGGTGCATCAGGCTTAGGTTCTGGTTTAGCAAATTGCATTAATCTCTCAAATTTGACACTTGGTCTTCGGTAAAAACAGTTTATTTGTTTTGGATTGTGATATTTTTAATTATAAAAACTAATTAAAAACAATAAAGCTCTTTTTTCTTTTTCTTTTCATTATGCTTGCTTTTTTTTGTTCTTTCTTTGTTAATTTATTTAGCTCATCCTTTTATTTAAAATTTTATTCTATTTTAATATTATTTAAAATTTACACAATTTTATTATAAAATATTAGCCTAATGAATGAATCATAAAAATTCAAAGTAACAAGCAAGTGTCTTAAATTAAAAAGATTAGTTGTCTTTAAAAATTTATTCTGATTATAAACAAGTCACGAAAAAAGGATGAATAAATGATGAATAAATATTAAATGTTTGAATAATATTATATAATATTTTGAAAAGTTTTTTTAAATCTAAAATATAAACAAATAGTTAGATTTTTTTATTGATTTTATATTTATAAATATCATTCAAATTTATTTTTGTAAGTAAATAAATTATTTATTAAAAATAAAAAAATTAAATAAACTTAAATAAATTAATTCCTCTTAAGTAGCCCTATGGTTTCTCCAAAAACGAACAAATAATTTGAACCTGTTAGTGTTATATTATTTCATTATAAATTATATAAAAGAGAATTTAGGAAGGAATGGGGCTTTTTTAGATCAGTAGACAGAAAAAACCTCTCTGCCTACTATTTTTTCACCTTCCAAGTATTTTCCTTAGAAGGCTACATTAAAGACTTTTTAAAAAACATTTTTAAATAAATTTTTAATAGAAAATTTTTGAATATATAATTTATTAGAAATAACCTATAATTCTTTTATTTTTCTTTTTCATTTAATAAAAAAAATTATTTTTTTTATTTTATTTTAATTTTTATTTAGAAAAACAAAGTTGAACTCTACTATATATAATACTTATATTAAAAATTAGATTTGTTTATCAAATTATTTATTTACAATATCTATTTTGTTTAACTATTAATTATGCGTGATCAATTTATTCATTGAATGAATAATTTATTAAGCTTGATATTTATAATATTTAGAACTTTTAAATTTAATAACTGTTTAAGAGCAAAAAGATATATTTATTTGTTTGTTAAATTATTAATAAATAAGAAATAATTAAAAATATAATATTTGTTTAATTTTTATTATAAATGTTGAAAGTTAATTTTAAACAATAAATAGTAAAATATTTAATATTTGTTTTATTTTTAACTATAAATATTAAAAGTTATTTTAAATGATAAATAGTAAAATATTTAAAATTTATTTTATTTTTAATTATAAATAATCAAAGTTATTTTAAATGATAAATAGTTAAATATTTAATATTTGTTTTATTTTTAACTATAAATATTAAAAGTTATTTTAAATGATAAATAGTAAAATATTTAAAATTTATTTTATTTTTAATTATAAATAATCAAAGTTATTTTAAATGATAAATAGTTAAATATTTAATATTTGTTTTAATTTTTATTCTAAATATTTAAAATTAATTTTCGTCAAATTATTTTTTGGTCATGACTTATTAATTTAAGTAGTCATCATTGATTGTCTTAAAAATATATAAATAAATAAAGTATTGAATCAATATATTATTGTACATTATAGTATGATATAAAATTTATACAAATGCTAAAATTATTTTTAAAAAGTAAACAAAATTGAGGTTATCTATGAAACAAATATCAAATAAAAAAAAACGCTAAAATTATTTTAATATAAGCAAAAAAAATTGAAGTTATGTATGAAACAAATATCAAATCAAAAAAAGAAACATAAAAATAAATAAAATTCACAAACTATAATAGCAAGAAAAATCTTAAATTTTTTATTTGTTTTGGAAAAAATTAAATTCGTAGAAGATTATTTACTCATTAAAAGCAAGCAAGGTAGAAACCCTAATATTATGAAATAAAATATTAATAAAACATTTATTTACTCATTCTATTTTCTCTTACTAAACCATTTCAAAATTTTATAATTCATTTAGATATTGATCCTTTTATTTACCAATTATTTATGCAATAAAAGATATGATTTTTCTTGCTAAAATTAATCTAAATATCTTTCAACAAATTTAGAGTATTCAAGAGCTTCATCAAAATCCTTTATATTGATTAAACAATCAAGATAAAAAATCATAGATTGACCTCTTTCCAAATTTAAATTTTGTGAAGTAACCATTTTATAGCAAAAAACAATGATATTTTTTAAACCACTAAGCAGCATTATGATAGTCTTTATTTAATAAGTAAGTAGATTATATACAACTAAGATTATTATAAGTGGTAGAATCGTTAATTACTAAATAGTTTCTTTTTTCAAGAAGTTATTAGTGAATATCTATATAAATATTATCAATTAATTTGTATATCTATATTTATTCATAAATTTTTCTACAGAAAATAGATTCAATACTCTCAAATATAAACTAATTTTCATTTTCATTAAAATTTGAATGATTTCTAGGATGAGGATTTTTACTCAGTCGGCTTAAATAAGAATATTGCTCAATTTCTAAACCTGAATACACCAAAACTAAGAAAAAAAGAAGGTAGATTAAACATATGGGATTCGTATATGATTTTTTATACCTACTCAATCAAGGTCTTGGTTGATGTCCCTCCTCCGTCCCCTTACAATTACAATCCTTAAATTATTATTTCATTTTATAAATATTAATTTTAGTTCTTTAAAATATTTCATAGATTTTATTCATAATTATATTAAAAATTATTTAATTTAAATAAAGGATCTATCTATCTATACTATAAAAATATAATTTACACGAGCTATAAATTTAAAGTATGCAATATTTAAATGATCTTCATAAAAAATATTTTCAAAGATATTAATCTCTACCGACAAATTATTGTAAAATTAATTATGTATTTTTGATATAAAAAAGTTTATTATTTACTTAAATATTTTTTAAGTTATTCATTCTATCATTTACAAAATTAATTAAAGATATCTGACAAAAAACTTATTAATTTAAATTCATAATTAATATATTACACACCATGATTTTTTATTTCAAAAATGACAATATTATTTTATATAAAATTTATTCAAAGAGTTAATATAATTTATGTGTGATTGATTGCGAATCTTAAGAAAAAGCCTTTTTCATCTTTATTTGAATCAGATCTTCCATTTCTTTTGAATTAATTTTTGAGTACTGTCATTCTTTTTTGTATTCTTTTAAGCAGAGAAATTTTGGCTTACATTATTGGAGTAATTTAATTTATTGGATTGTGAGAGTTGATTTTTTCTACCAGAATTTTCAAGATTTCTTGATTTCATTAATGAAGCGTTGGAGAACTATGGATCGAGAGGTACATAAAGCTCATCAGCAAGAAGTTAGTCTCTGAATAATCTCAAAGGTGAGTTTTCAAACTTAAGAGAGACTTGCTAGCTTCTCAAAATTGCTTCTCTAAATCTATTTTCGATGTCATTAATGCTAGTGCTAATAATAAAGAAATATAAAAATAAAAATTGTATTGAATAGTTTAAAGAGATATTACGAATTATTATGGTTGGGGTGTTGGTGGCTCATGTTTTAATATTGCTAGCTGTTATGGATATTTTTTTGGTGAGAATTTTAATTGAATTAATTGCTATCGTATCTATCGTTCTTATGATCTGATTAGAGACTTTATTGGATATTTTACTATGATGAACCTTGTCCAAATTAATTAGTTGATCTAGCAGGATTCTTCTTTTAATCGGAATTATAAGTGTTTCCTCTATTTAATGGTTATTGTTGCTATTCGTTATAGCTGTTATTATGGTAGCTGTGGCTGCTTTCGTTCATATTTGCATATTATGGCTAGTTTCTATTTGCATTTTATTAGCTATTTTAGTTACTGCTATTAATATTGCTGCTGTTAATATTATTATTAGAGTTATTATTGTTATTGTTATTTTGTTAGTTATCTCCTCTATTAATTCTGCTTCTCTTTCTAGTTTCTCTATCAGGATCAAAGTCTGGAATGTGGTCTTCAGAATATTCAGTGTTAGAGATTTCATTGCCAGGTTGGTTTCCTGCTTATCCTCTATAATTTGCTTAAACGTTGGAGTTTTCTCCATCATGTTCATGCTAAATAATATGGTCAGTATTACTTTTATATTATTCATCAGGAGATTGGATAAATTGATTTCCATGTTGGACAGAATCTGCGAGCTTCTTTTCACTTTATTCTAATTCAGATTAGAAACGCTTGGTCTCATATTCCTCTAAATTGAAATTTCCGCTACGCATTTAGTCAATCAAATTGAGTCCATCTTCTAAATTAATACGCTTATCTATCTAATTTAGCATGCTTACTAATAAGAGATATAAATTGTAGCTATATTGGCTTTTGATTGTCTCTAAAAGTGCTAAAATTTCCTCTTCTTTAATTGTATAGTTTTCGAAATCATAAATGATGTCTACATTTTGGAGAGTTCCCATAGCCAAAGCAACTAAACCAAGAGAGAAAATATCAGCCTTTTCTTGATCAACTTCTTCGTTATCCAAGATTGTAGATCTACGCAACTTCTAAAGTAATTCAGGGGCTAAGAAGCACTCAGTTTCTAAATTAAGCAAGTGCTTCTTGTATCCACACATACCTGCTGTCAAAAAGATAATATCTGTAAGTTTGAAGTTGTTGTTGTTATCTATCAAGATAGTCCTTGGTTAGATATCACCATGAACCATACCATTGATTTTAAAGTAATATAAAACGCTCATAATTTACTCTATCAAATCAAATATAGACTAAAATATTTATTTATTAAAACAATTTTTTAATACAAAATCTATTAATTCATCTTAGAAAAAACAATAAGTCCGTGTTTAAAGTAAAATATAATTTTATTCTCAAATTAAATAATTTAGATTTTCATCCTTAAGATAAGAAAAAAAGAAGTTAGTTCTACATAGAAAAAAATAATTATTTGAATAAAGCGAGTTGGGGGAAAATTAAATTTTATAAAAATTGCTTTTTATAATAGATATTGAAGAAATAAGTTAGTTTTTACAGATTTAATTCTTATTATTAGAATGAAGACATTGGCTTGCCTTTAAATTTTATAAAGTAAAAATATCCTGCTTTAGTTTGAATTTAGAAGAATTTCGTGATTAGTTTAATAATATAAAGAATTTATTGGCTTATTAGATGGATTTAATAAAAATAATTTGAAAATTGCATGCATAAAAATCTATATTTTATTTCACTTGAAATGAATGTTTAGAAAGTTTTATTTGCTTTAAATAAGTTTATTTTGTTTGTTTTTTTGCTTGTTTGTATTTGGTTGATTAGTCGATTAATGTATTTGTTAATATTAAGTCAAGATATTATTTTTCTTTTTCTATTGATTTTTTAAAATTACTAATTCGATTAAAATTTATTTCTCTTGAAATCTTATACACAAACAATCACATTCAATTATTATTTTTTTGGCTGGTTCAATATTTTTCAGTAAGATATTAAATTTTATTTGCCATAGAAAATATTTCATAAAATGAATTAACATCAATCACAACGTATTTTCTATATGGATTGAATCATTTAATTTGCTCTCATTTTTTATTTTTATGCTAAATTTCTTCAATATTCGGTTACGAAAATGCTTCAGTTACTTGCAAGAACTCGCTTAAATTAGTTAGGATTATATACAAACCATATATAATACTCCTTGAAAAAACTAAAAAAAACACGAACTATTGAGTTTATGCTGTGTAAATTTAATTAAAAAGTTACATTTTCATCGAAGAATTCTTTTGTTTCGAAACGAGATAGGAGAACTTCCTTAAGACTCAACTTGTGGTATTCATATGCCATATCAATCTTATAAATGTTAGTGCAGAAATTACTATTCAAAATTGCTTATGATCTTACAAGTCTAACCAAATGGTTGTGATTTAAATACTTCTTTGACTTGAGGTCTTCATAGTAATCTCTGCAGTCTTCTCTAGAGTCAAAAATCTTTGTTTTTGTGCAAATTTCTAAATCCTCTTGTGGATTTTCTGCATCTTGCTCAAGATCTCTCCTAATTCTGTATATTTTTATTTCACCATAAGCCTCATCTTCCTCCTTTTAACCGACGTACTCTAAATCCTTTTCTGTATATTGATATTCTACTTAGTTGCCTTCAGCATTAGCTCCAGCTTGATCGCCATCAATATGTTGTTGGCTATTCATGTCAGCTAGTTGATCTTATTGTCCTTATGTATTTCCCATCTTTAATTTTTTAATTACTTAAGTTTTCTTTCTTTCTTATTGAATTATTTATCAAATTATATATGTATTTATTTTGAATTCTTTATCTTTTTCTATTGACAAACTCAATAATTTTTATTTATATTATTATTTGTTTATTTTTTTTATTTATTTTTTGTTAATGTTATGTGCCAAATATATATAAAGAATAGCAAGCACTTTGATATCACTTATTGTGTTGAAATCATCTCAAAACTATACGTTGCTTGCTTATTTGCTTGAATGATAACAAGATTTGATCACTTTCAATGAAGATGTTATTAATCTAAAATTAATGAATTATTTATTAATTTAATGTATTAATGAATGGACTGATGGATGGATGAACGAACCAATGAATGAATGCTTGTCACATTAATATACAACTGATTTGTTTATTTATTTTTATTTGTTTATATTAAATATAATAACGATTTAATGTGCTTTTAAAGAAATATATAAAATTTTATTCAATAAAAAGTAAATCTGTTGATTAAAATTAATAAAGCATAAAATCATAATATCTTTCAAGTTTATTTACTTTTAAAAAAATGCCACCATTTTTCTATTTAAAATAAAATTAAAAATGTTTATTTAAGAAATTAAAATCAACTTAAATTATATGAATAAAAATCACTTTAAAACATTTTTTAAAATTTAATTAAATATAAAAGAAAAAGTAATTATTTCGAGCAAAATGAAGCAAAGAATTGTTTGCGATCAATATTTTTAATTATCTGATCATATTAATTAGATTTGATTATTAAATAAAATTTAAATTTAAAAGAAGATAAAAACATTAAAAATTTTAATATTAATTAACAATCTTAATTGACTTTTTCATTGCGATTTGATAGATTAATATTAAATCTTGCACTTTAGTAACAGCCAGTAAATAAATAAATAAATAATAAATTAATAATTGTTAAAATTAATATCTTTAGTTTAAATATTAATGGGATGGGTGTAATATCTAACATAATTTAATTATTTAGCAAATAATTTAATTCTAATATTTTTTAATAGAAATTTATTAAAAAATAATTTTTTTTCAATATCATCCATTTAATCTAAAAAATATTTATTGAAAAAAGTTATAAGTTTAAAATTATAAATAAAATATCATCAAATATACTTTTAATTTTAGTTAATCATTTAAGGTTAACCAGATGGTTTTATCAAAATTTATTAAATCATAGTACTTGGTTGTATCATATTTAAATTATTTTCATATTGTGGATTATATGAATTCTGCTAATTTTATTAATTTTTTTGTTGAACAAATAATTGTAATTAATTCTAATTAAATTAAGAAGGTTATAACTAATTTGGGTTCCAATTTTAAGGAGCTTAAATTTATAGTAATTGAGGAATGTTTTAACTATTTTATAATAAGTTAGAGTTTGGATTTATCTAAATTTCAAAATAATGAGGAGAACTATCTGAAACACAATAAAATGTGTCTATTTTAGGAATAATGTATAAGTAGTAAATGACTTCAATTAATTATCCTTTAGAACTTAAGGGTATATTGCCAGGTATTTTAAATTGAACTTCAGATTTCATTTAAGAGGATTATACTTTTACGTTAATGCTATTTTCATTTAATTCAATTATTCTATTTACAACTGTATTATCTGCCTTCATACTTAACTGCCCAACTAATTTTATAGTTAATTCATTTACTGTTTTACTAAATTAGCTAAAATCTATTTCCATACTGAGATTCATCACCTCATTAGGTGAATAGCATTCCTAATTCCTATTTATACTGTACTAAATGTATCCTGGCTTACAGCAGTAACACAATTCTGGCTACTAAGCAGTGCTTGTGAAAGTTAAGTCAAAAGAAGGTATTTATTACCCGATAAATATCTCTTGACTTCCATAAACTGGTTTAACATTTGGTTCAGTTGAAATAATCTCAGCAATAATAGAATATTTTAGAGAACATTTTATCTTTTCACTACAAAAATATTAAACAGAAGAAGGAATTTTATCTGAGATAGCCAATTAAAATGGAATAACTAACTAGCATGGATTGATTACAAATGCAGATTATAATTATCCTTAGGCGAAATCATAAATAGGAATTTAAAAATTAAGAAAAGCATTATGACCCTAAGCTTAAATAGTTTTTCTTATACCTTCTCTATGAGTTTCAAATGTGAAGCTAGTTTCTTCTACCCCACTTAGAGTTACTTATAAAATATGACCTTAAAACGGTTCTTCTAAGTTGATATTCAGCAAGCCATGAATAACTTCGTTGCTTACAAAGTATGTCTTTTAAAGCTAAATATAAATACCTCCCCTAACTTATCTTCTGTTATCCTTAGGATTACTTTGACCCATATTTTTTTAATTTTATAGTCTATTTTTTACTTTTTTTCAATTTAAATTCTGCTTCTTTTAATTTTTTTTGATTTTCATTATATTTTTTGATTTTTTTTAGCATTCATGTTTATTATGTCAATATCTATCACGTTTATAATTTTACATTTTTAAATTCGAGATGAACTTCGATTTTACCAATTTTATAAACCTATTTTAAGCTTTCTTAATTAATTTTAATGGTTCATTACTTTACTAGTAATCTTCTATGCATATTAATATAAGAATACATCATTCAAAGTAAATAACCTGATGAGCAAGTTAAGTTTATTTTTATTTGATATTTGAGAATAATATTAGATCCTATTTGATTAAATAAATTATTATGTGATTTTTTAATGCTGAAGTTAACTAACTAGGTGAAGATTTGTTATTACATATAATAGATTTTAATTTCTTTCTTTTTTACTTGCTAATTTTAATAAAATGATTATTGCATTTAAATTCTTTGATTTAATAAAAATAATTTCTTGTATTTTATTTTATTTTTAAGCATACACAAATTCGATAAAATTGTAATTCTTTTTTATTAATTTCTTAGTTTACAGATTTAATGTAACAAAGGTTTTATTCTAAATAAAGTTTTTTTTAGATTAACATTAATTGATATTTTTTCATTTGATCACACCTTTTTAATTTATATTTCATTAATAAATCTAATCAATTTAATAGTATAAAAATGAGAGAATTCCATATATATTCAATATATTTTGATTATTAAAATTTAATGATACAAATAACTTAAAAATATTAAATTTTATTGGCAAATATTTTATTTATTTATAAGCTTTGATTTACATTTTAGAATCATCTAAGTGAATGAATTTTTTTTATTATATAAACTGGTCAAAAATAAAGGATGGATAGATATCTAATTACGAAAATTAAATATATCTTCAAACTTTTGAAAAAATGTTTACTTTAATTAAAGTAAGTGAAAAATGTTAATTTATTACAACTTATTTAAAAATATTTGATCTACTAATACTATTTTCAAAGAAAATTCTATGGAAGTAAATTTATATTTTTAGTTTCAAAAATAATTTTTTAGTTTTAAGTATTTTCTTCTTAAAAAATAGGTACGCAATTTATTTGCTACTTTTTTTTACTTGAATTAAACTATAAATTCTTCTAGTAACTTAATTATATTTTCTAGTTTATGTAATTCCATTATAATTTTTATATTATATTTATTAGTTACCATTATTAAATGTAAATTAAAAGATTTAAATATAAAATTTAGTTCAATTATTTTTTTTAAAATTAATATTCTATTTTATAATCTTCATAAACTGATCTCTTTTTATTTTAATATTTAACTGTTATTAATCTAATTGATTTATATTTTATAGATATTTAATAAATTAGTGTTAATTAGAATTATATAGTATTGGAAGGTTCTGTTATTAATAAATAATAAAAAAATAAAGTGGCACTCTGTTTATTTTTATTTATACACAAAGTTCTTTTTATAAAAATTCATCTTCAAAGTTTTCATCACGCAATCAATTTAGAATATATTAAAATTTTTAACAAATGTTATTATATTTTACTATCAACTTAACAATTTATTAAAGAAGATAAGTTTATGCTTAGATAGTTTAATAAAATTTTCAAAACCATAAGAGAAAATAAATTTTAATCTTGTTTGCTTTACTATATGTTAAATGTTATTAATTTTAATTTTTGCTTTTTTGTTTTTTAGTTTGGTACATTTTATTTTAAATAGCTGGTAAATTTAGAGATAAAAATAATTTAATAGGTTTTAGCAAAATTGTATTGAATTTATTTTTAATACATATAAAAATTTAGAAATTTATGAAAAACTAATTATTATCTGAAAATAATAATTAATTAATTTAACAAATAATTGGCCAATAATTTAAACGAATTCATTTCAGAAATGGTTAAAATATATAATATTAACTAACTTTTCAGAATCTAAGATTAGAAAAGAATCTTAATAAATTTAGAGTAATTAATTTTTTAGTCATTTTCATTTTTTAATTAGATTTTTTATAGTTATTAGAATTTTATATTAATCTAAATTATTTGTGAAACAAAAATTTCCAATAATAATTAAATTCATAAAAATATTGTTAATTTAAAATGAATTAGATTATAATTGGAGTATTAAAAAACTTTTACAAACAAAAGTAAAAAAAATAAATTCTAAATTTCTTTTCTCTCTAAAAAAATGATTTTCTATTTATAATAAAACTATTTGAAAAAAAGCATTTTCACTTATCTAATAACTATTTATTGTAATAAATTAAGAAAAAAGAAATATAATCAATGTGGTATTGAAATTGCAAATAAACTAGAAAGTTGCAGAGATATAACACAATTTGTCCTTAAAGTTCAGTATTTAATTTAATGCCTTTTAAATAAATATTATTTTGATTTGAGATTTTTTTATTCTTTAACTTTAAATTTTTTAGTCAGTATTCGAGTTGTTAAAAATTAAAGTCTAAAGTAATTCAATTAATTGCAAGCAGTTTGTCAAAATGTACTTATCTATCTCACTTAAAGCTAGATTTAAGGTAAGTAAATTATTAAGTGATTTAATTTTGTAATCCTAACTAACTGTTAATAATTTAATAAAAATAATATTATATTATTTCTTAGTTATTACAGTTTAAGGGTTGAGGATATAAAAAATATAGCAAATATAATAATAAGCTGCTAAAATATAACTTATTTGAGTTTAGATATAGAGTAAATTTTAACTATTTCTTTTTTAATTTCTTATTCAATTTTTTCAATGGATACAAGGTTTCCTGATTGTTAATAAGAAGGAATTAATATAATTTCAAAAGCTCTATAAAATTGCTTAAATATTACTACCTTGAAGCTTAGATTAGGGTAAAATATTTAATTTTTATTCATTCAATACGATTTTATTTATTTTTTTAAATTTAATTTTAAGCAATAATTATAGTTTGATAAATGAAAAAAATTTTACAGATGTATTAGAAAAATTGACAAAAATTCAATGTTTGAAGCTAGGCATATTGTAAATTTAAATTTATTATCACTAATCTAAAAATTTATTTACCCTTAATTGATTTGGAATGCTTTTTATAAATTTTACACATTTAAAATCAGATCAACAGCAAAACCTAATTAATGCTTCAATCTATTAGGAAATGCAATAGGGAAGTTGTTAAATATAATAAAATTAGAACTTAATCTCTCAAGATATTTTTCTTTGTAAAATTATTTTTTATTTTTAAAATTTCTTTAATATTGACATTTTTTATTAGCAATTACAAAATTGATCTACTTACTTAAAAGTTTGCAAACACTTTAAAAAATTTATTAAATTTAGAAAGTTTGAATATTAATTTAAGGTAATAAAGCAAATTTTTAATTAAAACATAATATTTATAAATTAAATTAATAAATAAATAAATAATTAGTAAAAACAAAATTGTAGATAAAGAAATTGCTATTTTAGCAGAAAGTATTATATTTTGCTAAAAAATAACTCATTTAGTGCTTATTTTAAGGTATTATCATATTTTTATATAATTAAATTACCGTAATTTCCATATTTGAATAAGCGAAATTTTTATATAAGAAGGCAGTAAGTATAATTTTTTTAATCATAAATCTTATTATTATTCATGTATGTAGCCTTGAAAAAGGCAGTACCCTATAATTCTATATATAATATTCTTTTAAATTTAAAGTAAATGAATTAAAAAATAATTTAAAATAAAGTGCTTGCTTAAAAAAATGAAAAAAATACTTCATTCAAAAAATTTATTGAAAAATAAATATTATTTTATTCAACTATTTTTTTATTAGTGAAAATGAAATAAAAGCTGAAGGAGCAAAAAACATTTCATTTATACTTCAAAAGTGTTAAAAACTAAAATCTTTAACTCTTGATTTAGAGTAATTTTAAATGTAATACATATAAATGAAATAAAAAAGTTTTTCAATAAAAGACTAAATAAGTTAAGCAAGGAAGGTGGAACTTATATTGCTTAAGGATTGTAGAGTTGCTCTAACATTAATTTTATGAATCTTTCTTTAAAGTAAATTTTTATCTTATTCTCAGATAAATTTTTTGATTTTTAAATTTACTTCTTTAGTTTTTTATATCACTTAATTAGTTAAAATATTTTAAAAATTTAATATTAAATTATTGACTGAATAGTTGTTATCAAATTTATTCGTCTCTTATTTGTGCAAAAAAAGTAAAAATATCATTTTTAAACCTTTAGGTCCAATCATATACATGTTTCAGAAGCTTAACTCATTGGTTTATCTTTAAAAAACATGCAAAATTTGAAAATTTTAAATTTAAACTTGAAGTAATTAATTGCCTTTGCATTTTTTATAGCATGAATTTATTTAAACGTTTTTTAAATATTAGCTCAAATGAAATGGGACTTAAAAAAGGAAAGGATGTAAAAAGTATCACTGATTCATTATAACTATGTTAAAATATCACAAATTTAAGTTTAGATTTAGGGTAAATAAATAAATAAATTAAAATTTAAATATGTGTGTATGTATGTACATCATAGCATATTTATTATAAATCTAAAATAAATAGAAGTAATTGTATTGGTGTGGAAGGGGCTAAGAATATTTCTCTGTTGATTTAAAAATGCTACAATATAAAATATTTAAAACTTAACCTTAAGTAAAATTTATTTAATATTACAGATTTTTTAATTAAATATTAAAATTATTTAAATATTGAAAAGCTAAAATTAAATTAGTCTCGAAGGTGTGAGATTTATCTCGAAATCACTTGAAAAATAAAGACATATTTTACATTTAGAAATTTAAATATAGTAAATTCTTTTTTTTTAATGTTATTAATTTAAATAGAGAATAGTTTTAATTGATTAATTAACTACTTTTGCTTGATATTTACTTAATTTTAATTAAAAATATAGAAAAAATAATATTAAAATAAATGGTTATGTTAGACTTGCCTAAGCTTTAGCTAAATGTTAGCATTTCACCAGTTTGAATTTAAGGTAATTCTTTAACTAATTAATTAAATAAATTTATTTGTCAGAATGATAAAAATTTAGTTTTTTCTAAATTATATTTAGTTTCAATAGTTATTGGTCTTAAGATTTATTTTATGATGATCTAAGCAATAAGGAGAGACCAAAATTAAAAACAAAAATTAAAAAATCACTTAGACTGGTTAATTTAAATATAGATCTATAGTGATATAGGGATTAAAATAATACATTTTCTATGTTCAATATCTTATAAAATAAAAAATTTATTTATATTTTTTATGTTTGCTAATTTTGTTTATATTTAAATTTTAAAATATTTACATTAAATAATAAGCAAAGTATCTATTAATTTACATTATTGTTGTTAATTTTAAAAAGTATGTTTAATGCAATATAACACAATTAAAAAAATAAATATCAGTGCTGTAAAATTTACTTTGTATTTTAAAATTTTTTAAATATTTTTTTTTTGAAATTGACTTTGAAACTAAATAATTAACAGCTATAAAATATGCTATTTAAGATGGGATATGAACTACTTAATATAGATATTTATCATATATATTAAATTGATAAAATTAATTTTTAAATATATATAGGTTTATGAAGTCAAAAAAACAGTAGATAAATCAAATAAATAAATTAAAATAACTATTCATGTTATTTTTTTACCTAGAATATTGATATATATGATATATCATTCCAAAATATCCTAAATTAGAGATCTAAATATCATCAAAATTTTTTAGATTATTTAAATAATTATTTATTTTAAGTTAACTGAATTCAATTTAAAAGAAAATAAGGATGAAGTATATATACAACAGATCATCTTATTTTAACAGCTGAATAGTTAATTAATATAAAAAAATTTTCTAGATGGAAGATCGCTAACACCTTATTTAAAAATTATCATAATCTTTATTTAATATTGAGTATGAAATTACAAATTTAATAAAAACATATTATATTCTATTTATTTTTCAAATATTTTTATATTTGTTAATTCTATCTTCATCATTTACTAATTATCATCAAAATATTTTAAAGATAACTAATCTTTTTGATTTAAGACACTTACTTTTTACTTTCAATTTTTCTGATGGATTGATTTAATTTAATCTTTTAATATAAATAAATCTTACTAATCAAAATTAACTAGAATTATATGTTTAAATTATATATTATATTTTCAATTTGTAAATAAAATAAACTCAACTTGATTAAATAAAGAAAAATAAATCAAAAAAAGCTAATAAATTAATTAAAACAGTTTTATTTATTTTTCAAAAACCAAAACAAATAACAGTTTGTTTTTACTAGAGATTAAGTGCCAAATTTTATAGATTAGTGAACTTTGCTAAAGTAAAACCTAAGCCTAATGCACCAACAGGACCAATTTAATTTTCACTTTTTAAATATTGAAGAAAAAATATATAATTTATTTATTAGCTATTCAGAAGGAAAAAATGAAGAAAAAATATTAAATAATAAGAAATTAATTAATTAAAAATAAATCAAAACATGAAAATATGAATGACTTAAATTAAGTACTAAAAATAACAAAAGCAGAATAAAGAAAAAAATAAATCAAATAAAAACCTAAATAAATTAATAAAAAGACTTTTATTTATTTCAATTCGTTTTTAAATGCAAAAATATCAAAATCCCAAACAAATAAGTAATAAAAAATAAATCAAAATAAAAATTGAAAATTAAAAAATGATAGAATTAAATTAAAAAAGAAAGAAAGAAAAATAGCACATTAAAAAGAAACAAAATCTAATAAAAAGTTAATAAGAAAATTAAAGAGTTTATTGTTATAAATTCATTATTATATTAAAAAATATAATAATCCAAAACTAATAAACTGTTTTTACTCAACATGAAGTGCCAAATTTGAGAGATTAGATTACTATGATAAAACGAAACCTAACCCTGATGCTCCTTCTTGTCCAATAAAATTGCAACTTTTTAAATATTGAAGAAAAAATACATAATTAATAAGTTATTTGGAAGGAAGAAATGAAGAAAAAATAAGATATAATAAGAAATTAATTAAGTAATAATCAAAGTAAAAGTAGAAAATAAAAAAATGATGAATGAGTTAAAGATCATCAAAAAAACACAAGCAGAATATAAAATAAAAATAAATCAAATAAATTTAATAAAAAGAGTTTTTTGTTTTAAATTCATTTTTATGTTAAAAAATATCAAAATCCAAAAGTAATAAACTATTTTTACCCTAGATCAAGTGTCAAATTTGAAAGATTAGTGCACTTTGCTAAAGTAAAATTAAAGCTTAATCCACCTATTCCATCAATATTATTGTAACTTTTGTAATATTGTAGAAAATATATTTAATAAATTAGTTATTTTTATGGGAATAGTAGAGAAATAATAAAAACGATAATAAGAAATTAACTAATTAATAATAAAAAAATAATTTTAAACAAAATGAAAAAATGTATGAGTTAAATTAAGAAAGAAAAAATATATATACTATTAGAATAAAAAAAAAAGAAAAATAATTAAATAAAAAAGCTAATAATTAAGTAATGAATAATGTTTTATTATTTTAAATTCATTTTTATATTAAATAAAACAAATAAAATATTTTTACCTAAGTTTAAGTGTCAAATTTGAGAGATTAGTGCACTTTCCAAAAGTAGAACATATTAAGTTCGATGCACCAATTGCACCAATTTAATTATAACTTTTTAAATATTTTAGATAATTTATATAATAAATTAGTTAGTAAGAAGGAAATAATAAATAAAAAATATGAAATAATAAGAAATGAATTCTTTAATGATCAAATAAAATGTTGGAAATAAAATTATGAATGATTTAAATTAAGAAAGAAAAAAATATACTCAAGCAAAATAAAAAATAAAAGTAAATCAAATAAAAAAGCTAATAAATAAATTAAAAGAGTTTAATTGTTATTAATTCATTTTTATTTTTAAAATGTCAAAATCCAAAACAAATAAAGTGTTTTTACCTAAGATCAAGTGTTAAATCTGAGAGATTAATGCACCTTGCTAAAGCAGAACTTAAGTCTGATGCACCTTTATCGCCAATTAAATTTGAACTTTTTGTTATTGAAGACAAAATATATTAGTAAATGTTAGTTAGATACAAGGAAAAAATGAAGAAAAAATAGAATTTTATAAAATAGAATTGAATAAAATAGAAATTAATTAATTAATTAATAATCAAATCTAAAGTTTAAAATCAAAGAATGATAAAAATTTAAATGAAGAAATAAAGAAAAACACCAGCTCGATAAAAAGATAAATAAATAAAATAAATAACTAATAAACTAATAAATTAAAACTGTTTTATAGTTATAAATTCATTTTATATTAAAAAATATCAATTCCAGAACAAATAAACTAATTTTACTATAGGATTAGAGTCAAATTTAAGAGATTAGTGCTGATTGCTAAAGCAGAGCCTAAGGCTGAAACATCTTCATCATACATTTTATTTTCGCTTTTTAAATATTGAAGAGAATATAAATTATTATTTAATTATTTTGTTGAAGGAAAGAAAATTGAAGAAAAAATATGAAATAATAAAAATAAAATAATCAATAATCAAATCAAACATTCAATATCAAAAGATGATAAATAAGTTAAGTAAAATTAAATAAAAAATCAATAGCATTAAAAAAAGAAAAATAAATCAAATAAGCGATAAATTAATTAAAAAATCTTTATTGTTTTAAATTTATTTTTATGTTAAAAAATATCAAAATCCTGTTTTTACTTAAGTCCAAGTGTCAAATTTGAGAGATTTTTGCACTTTGCTAATGATGTACCTAAGCCTGAAGCACCAATTGCACCAATTCTATTGTAGCTTTTTAAATATTGAAGAAAATATATTTAATAAATTAGTTTGCTAGTAGAAAAAATAAAGAAATAAATAATATGAATTTTAATTAATAGTCAAAGTAAAAGTTTAAAATAAAAAAATGGATGAGTGAAATAAAGAAAGAAAGAAAGAAAGAAAGAAAGAAAAAATAAACATAAGTCAGATAACTAATAAATTAATTAACTAAAATATTTTCATTGTTTTAAATTCATTTTTATTTTAAAAATTAAAAAAATAAAAAATAATTATTTTTTACCATAGATTAAGTGTAAAATTTGAGAGATTAGAGCATTTTTCTAAAGCTGTACCTAACACTAATGCACATTTTTCATCAATTAAATTTGCTCTTTTTAAATATTGAAGAAAATATATGTAATTAACTAGTTAGAAAGAAGGGAAAAAATAAGAAAACATATAAAATAATGAATCAATTAATAATCAAAAAAGTTGAAAATTAAAAGATTGATGAGTTAAGTTAAGAAATAAAAAGAGAAAACAAGCACAATAAATAAATAAGAAAAATAAATAAAATAAAAGAATTTTATGTTTTAAATACATTTTTTATTATGAAAATATATCAAAATCCAAAAAAAATAGACTATTTTTATTTTTACGTAAGATCAAGTGTCAAATTTGTGAGATTAGTGCAGTTTGCTAAAGCAGAAGCTAAGTCTGATGTACCTCTTTCACCAATTTAATCATTACTTTTTAAGCATTGAAGAAAATACAAAAAATTAATCAATCAGAAAGAAGGAAAATAAGAAAAAACATGAAATAATAAGATATGAATTAATTAGAAATAAAAGTAAAAGTAAAAAGCTAAAAATAAGTTAAAATAATTTAAAAAATATTTTTATAACTTAAAATTAATTAATATATGATAATATCTATGAGAAAAATAATAGTGTTAATAACTTGAAAATTAAATGTAAAAAAGATTAATAATTTTAACAACAATAAATTAAATATACGAAAGATTAAAAACTAGTATTGAGTAAGATTAGAGCGAAGAGTTTAAACACTTTTTTTATTAATAAAATAAATTTAAAGAATATTTATAAAAAAATAATAAAATAATTACATCGTTTAAATTCATAAAGATTTTCTTTTTTAACATTGATTTATTTTTTCAAAATTTTGAATAGAAATTAATTTATCAAATTTTATTTGATTATAAATACATTCAAATATTAATTTAGCCTTATTTTGAATATATAGGGGTACCAAAAAAAATGCAATATGAACTTATCAAGAAAATCAAGTGAGATAATTTATTCTATTTATTAAAAAATTATTTAAGTTGGTATTAAATGTAATTATTTGGTGGATGCAATCTATATATATACTTAAATAAAACTTACTTGCAAAAAAAAATCTAATGTGATTAGAGAATAATTACAGATATTAAATATTCCTATAATTACATATCTAAAACAGAAAAATCTACTTATAAACACTATTTTTATAAAATTTAAGGACATTAATTAATTACTAGAATTTTTTCAAATATGACTAACTGGTCATCTCTAATTCCTACTATATTTTTAAGTATTAATTTTAAATACAAATATTAAGATTAAATAATTAATTTTAAATTAATTTTTCTGTGATATCCCTTCATAAAACCAAATTTATAAATTAATATTTGATAATTAATTATAAAATTTTATTTGTTCTTTTTCCATATATAAATAATTAATTAAATTCCAAAAATTGCTATTCAATATTTTTGAAAAAAAAAATAAATGATATAATAGATTAAAAATTATAACAAATTAGAAGAAGTAATTATTAACTTTTTTATTAATATCCTTTAAATTTATATATATTAATAAAAAAAGTTTTTAAACTCTTCACTTTTATCTCATTAGGTTATTAATATTGATCTGACGTATATTTTATTAATTAATATTATTTTTATTAAAACAAAAATTATTTAGCTATCTTAAAGTAATTTTCATTTCAATTTTTAATTACTTATAATTCATTTTTTATTATTTGATATTTTTTCTTTATTTTTTGCTATTAAAACTTACACTTAACAAAAGCAGTTTATTTGTTTTAGGATTGTAATATTTTTAATAATGAAAGTTAATTTAAAACATTAAAGCACTTTTACTTTATTTAATTTATTTTCCTTTTTCTTTTTTGTTTGATTTCTTATTTTTTCATTCTTTGTTAATTTTACTAATTATTAATTAATCTTATCATTTCATATTTTTTCTTCATTTTTTCATTCTAATTAAAAATTTAATGATTTTTTTTCTTCTTCAATATTTAAAAAGTGGCTATTAAATTGGTGCAATGGGTGCATCAAACATAGGTTCTGCTATAGCAAATTGCATTAATCTCTCAAATTTAACACTTGAACTTTAGTAAAAACAGTTTATTTATTTTGGATTATGATATATTTTTAATTATAAAAACTAATTTAAAACAATTAAACTTTTTCTTTTTCTTTTTATTGTGCTTGCTTTTTTTTTTCTTTTTTAATTTAACTCATCTTTTTATTTTCAACTTTTTCTTTTATTATTAATTAATTAATTAATCTTATTATTTCATATTTTTTCTTCATTTTTTCCTTCTAATTCACTATTAAATGATATATTTTTTCTTCAATATTTAAAAAGTAACAATTAAATTGGTGACCAAGGTGTATCAGGTTTAGGTTCTGGTTTAGCAAATTGCATCAATCTCTCATATTTGGCACTTTCACTTGGGTAAAAACAGTTTATTTGTTTTGAATTTTGAATTTTTGCTTTTATTATTAGTTAATTAATCTTATTATTTCATATTTTTTCTTCATTTTATCCTTCTAATTAATTATTTAATGATATATTTTTTCTTCAATATTTAAAAAGTCGTAATTAAATTGATACAAAGGGTGCATCAGACTTAGTTTCTGGTTTAGCAAATTGCATTAATCTCTCAAATTTGGTACTTAACCTTGGGTAAAAACAGTTTATTTATTTTGAATTGTGATATATTATATTTTTAATTATAAAAACTAATTTAAAACAATAAAACTTTTTCTTTTTCTTTTTATTGTGCTTGCTTTTTTTTTCTTTTTTCTTTTTTAATTTAATTCATCTTTTTATTTTGAACTTTTGCTTTAATTATTAATTAATCAAATTATTTCATATTTTTTCTTCATTTTTTCTTTCTAATTAACTATTTAATGATATATTTTTTCTTCAATATTTAAAAAGTTGCAATTTTATTGGTGATGAAGGTGCATCAAGATTAGGTTATGATTTAGCAAATTGCATTAATCTCTCAAATTTGACACTTATCCTTGAGTAAAAACAGTTTATTTATTTTGGATTGTGATATTTTTAATTATAAAAACTAATTTAAAACAATAAAGCTCTATTTTCTTTTTGTTTTTATTGTGCTTGCTTTTTTTGTTTTTTCATTGTTAATTTAACTCATCATTTTATTTTTAATTTTTGCTTTTATTATTAATTAATCTTACTATTTTATATTATTTCTTCATTTTTTCCTTCTAATTAACTATTTAATGATATATTTTTTCTTCAATATTTAAAAAGTGGAAATTAAATTGGCGAGGTAGGTGCATCAGGTTTAGGTTCTGGTTTAGTAAATTGCATTAATCTCTCAAATTTGGCACTTCACCTTTAGTAAAAACAGTTTATTTATTTTGGATTGTGATATTTTGAATTATAAAAACTAATTAAAAACAATAAAGCTCTTTTTTCTTTTTCTTTTTATTGTGCTTGCTTTTTTTTGTTCTTTCTTTGTTAATTTAACTCATCACATTTTTTTCAACTTTTGCTTTTATCGTTTATTAATTAATCTTACTATTTCATATTTTTTCCTTCTAATTAACTATCTAAAGATATATTTTTTCTTCAATATATAAAAAGTCGAAATTAAATTGGTGATGAAGGTGCATCAGGCTTAGGTTTTGGTTTAGCAAACTGCATTAATCTCTCAAATTTGGAACTTCATTTTAAGTAATAACAGTTTATTTATTTTGGATTGTGATATATATTTAATTTTTAAAATTAATTTAAAACAATAAAGCTCTTTTTTCTTTTTTTTTCTTGTGCTTACTTTTTTTTTTTCTTACTTTGTTAATTTAACTCACCATTTTATTTTCAACTTTTGCTTTAATTATTAATTAATTAATCTTATTATTTCATATTTTTTCTTCATTTTTTCATTCTAATTAACTATTTAATGATATATTTTTTCTTCAATATTTAAAAAGTGACAATTTAATTGGTGTAATGGGTGCATCAGGCTTAGGTTCTGGTTTAGCAAATTGCATTAATCTCTCAAATTTGACACTTGAACTTTAGTAAAAACAGTTTATTTATTTTGGATTGTGATATTTTAAATTATAAAAACTAATTAAAAACAATAAAGCTCTTTTTTCTTTTTCTTTTTATTGTGCTTGCTTTTTTTTCTTCTTTCTTCGTTTATTTAACTTAACATTTTATTTTTAACCTTTGATTTTATTATTAATTAATTAATCTTATCATTTCATATTTTTTCTACATTTTTTCCTTCTAAGTAACTATTTAATGACGTATTTTTTCTTCAATATTTAAAAAGTTACAATTAAATTTATGATGAAGGTGTATCAAGCTTAGGTTCTGCTTTAGCAAATTGCATTAATCTCTCTAATTTGACACTTATCCTTGAGTAAAAACAGTTTATTTGTTTTGGATTGTGATATTTTTAATTATAAAAACTAATTTAAAACAATTTTTTCCTTTTCTTTTTATTGTGATTGCTCATTTTTTTCTTTTTTCTTTTTTAAATTTAACTAATCATTTTATTTTCAACTTTTGCTTTTATTATTAATTAATCTTTCTTATTATTTCATATTTTTTCTTCATTTTTTACTTCTAATTAACTATTTAATGATATATTTTTTCATCAATATTTAAAAAGTTACAATGAAATTACAAGTGAAGGTGCATCAGGCTTAGGTTCTGGTTTAGCAAACTGCATTAATCTCTCAAATTTGACACTTCGCTTTTAGTAAAAACAGTTTATTTATTTTGGATTGTGATATATTTTTATTTATAAAAACTAATTTAAAACAATAAAGCTCTTTTTTCTTTTTCTTTTTATTTTTATTGTGCTCTCTTTTTTTTTGTTCTTTATTTGTTAATTTAACTCATCATTTTATTTTCAACCTTTGATTTTATTCTTAATAAATTAATCTTATTATTTCATATTTTTTCTACATTTTTTCCTTCTAATTAACTATTTAATGATGTATTTTTTCTTTGATATTTAAAAAGTGGCAATTTAATTGGTGATAAAGGTGCTTCAAGCTTAGGTTTTGCTTTAGCAAATTGTATTAATCTCTCAAATTTGACACTTTACCTTGCGTAAAAAGAGTTTAATTATTTTTGATTGTGAAATTTTTAAAAATTAATTTAAAACATTTTTCTATTTATTTTACTTGCTTTTTTTTTGTTCATTCTTTAACATTTATTTATCAACTTTTGCTTTTATCATTAATTAATTTATTAATCTTATTATTTAATACTTTTTCTTAATTTTTTCTTTCTAATTAACTATTTAATGATATATTTTTTCTTCAATATTTAAAAAGTTACAATTACATTTTTTATGAAGGTGCATTAGGCTTAGTTTCTGGTTTAGCAAATTGCATTAATCTCTCAAATTTGACACTTGAACTTTGGTAAAAACAGTTTATTTATTTTGGATTATGATATTTTAAACTATAAAAATGAATTTAAAACAAAAAAAACCCTTTGACTTTACTTGATAGCTTTTGTTTGACTTATTTTTTTTATCTTTTTTATTTCACTAATTTTATTTTATTTATTAATTTAAGTTGTAATTTTTAATTTAAAAATTTATTCTATTTTGATATTTATTTAAAATTTACACCAATTTATTGTAAAATTTTTAGCTCAATGAATGAATCATAAGAATTATAAGTAATAAGCAAGTGTCTTAAATCAAAAAGATTAGTTGTCTTTAAACAAATATGATGATAAACAAATGGTGAACAAAGGAAGAATAAATATGAAATGTTTGAATAAAATAATATTTTATAATTTAATATTTTGAAATTGTTTTTTTAACCTAAATATAAATAGATAGATTTTATATTTATAAATATCGTTCATATTTTAGTAAGTTAATAAAATAAATTAATTCATCTTAAGCAAACCCTCCGATTTCTCCAAAAATGATCAAATAATTTGAAACTTTTAGTGTTATATTATATCTTATCAAATTATATAAATGACAAGCTTGTATATGCCAGTTATATTGTAATTTTAAATATTATCCATCAATCATATTGGTAAGATAGTTGCTGTTAGGATTTTTCTTATATCACCAAATTTAGGATTTTTATGTTTTGAATTTTTTAGGATTAATCCTAATAAAGTATTAACGTGAAAAATCCTAATAGCATATAATAAGAAAATTATAATAATTTGAAAAAAATTCCTTTAATGATAAAATTTTTTTTGAAATTTAAAAAATATTGGTGTTAATTAAAGAAGGCCTAAAGTATATTTATTAATTTAAATAAATTAAAGAGCATATAATAAACATTCATAATTATTAATTTAGTTTTTAAAGGTATATAATATGAATTATATTTTAGAAATATTTAATTTAATATTTTTAATAATTTGTTTATAATTCACAAATTTAATAAGTTTTTCATTAAAATAATTATTATAACTATTAGATATTTCTAATTTCATTAGGGACTTTATTTAAGGCTTTTACAAAATCATTATAATTAAAACTTTTTCTTTAGCCTGGGTTATAATCATCATCGAAAGGATCCTAAATGGATATGTGTTTATCTCCATTTTTATACTTATTTAAGTCACCTCTTATTTTTAATATATTAGGTCTTATAGTTATAATTATTTTATCCTCATTATTTTTTGAATTCATATATAAAATAGTCTAACAAAACTCAATGAGATCAACAAATAATTTATGTAAAGGTGTTTATTCTAATTTTTAATAATATTTATCTTCTATTAATTTTTATTTGATCTTTTGCTTATTAGATTCGAAGCTTGTATATGTTTTGAGTTTCACATTTTAGAGATTACAGTATGTAGATATCATGGTAAAAAGAGGTGTAAATTAAAAATATTGATAATCCTATATGCTCCATATATAACCATTTGTAATAAAGTAATAAATAACAATATTAAGCAAGGCATAAGAAGTTAGCTTATATTTATCTTTGATTTTAGCGTTATCAGCCCAAATTTTAAATAACACAGAAAGCACTTTAATTTTTATATGTATATTTAAGTAAGTATAAAATAGATGTGAATTTAAAATTCCTAGTTTATTCTCATAGATAATATCGATTTTATAACCTGTTTTCTTATGTGTGAGATTTATAAAAGGGATCCTTATATATTAATTGATCACTGTTTCAATTTCAAATTCATCACTCAATTTAGTTTTAACAACTGATGAGATGAAATATAAAATACTTCTATATTTAATTTCAATATTTTCAAATTCAAGTATTACATCGATATCTGAGTTATTTTTTAAGCTTGTTCCTTGCAGAAAAGAGCCAAATAAGTAAGCTTTTAAAACTACTTTATCAGAAAATTTATTTGCAGCTGATCTATATATAACATTCAGAACATAATTCAGCATAGTTATCATATCCTTCTTCTTTTTTTATTCTAAAATTCTTTACTTGTATATTTCATACATTTAAAAATCTATTTGATCCGAATTTTATTATACTCTCAAAATTTCATCTGAATCTACAAGTATATAATCTAGATTTGCAATTATTATTTTTGGGTTGTATTTATGAGTTGCTTATCCATCAATCATTGAATCAAATATTTTTTAATCTGCTTCCTAGAGGCCTTGCATTCTAATTTTAGATATTGCTTATTTCTTTATAAAAAAAAAATTTTATTATATTAAAAAGTAAAGCTTAAAATAAAAATTTTACCTCTGGTTTAACCTAAAAAATTAGGCTTTCCTACTCTCTAATAGTTTAGTCAAGATCTTAATTAAAATTATTGGTAGGTTTTATCTAATTAAGCATATTGCTTGATAATTAATTATTTTTAGAAAGAGTGTTGCTATTCTATTCATTCTGAATAAAATTATTTTATTGGCTTTTATAATTTTATTATTAGAAATTTTAATACAGATTATTTTAACTTGCTTAATTAGTAGGTATCTGAGGTTATATCTAATTAATTATATTGCCTGATAATTAATTGTTTTTGGAATGAGAGTTGTTTTATTCATTCTGAAAAATATTATTTTGTTGGGTTGAATACTTTTATTTTTAGAAACTTTAATATTGATTATTTTAAATTGTTTGATTAGTAGGTATCTGAGGTTATATCTAATTAATCATATTGCCTGATAATTAATTATTTTTAGAAAGAAAGTTATTATTCTATTCATTCTGAAAAATATTATTTTATTGGGTTGAATACCTTTATTATTAGAAACTTTATTATTGATTATTTTAAATTGCTTAATTAGTATGTATGTGATATGGATGTGGTAGGTTTTAAGAATTTACCTATTGCTTTTGTAATTAAACATTAAATTCTTAATATTAATAATTATTCAATTACTAATTATCAAATTGATTTACATTTTAAGCAAATCTTAAATTAAGATTCCTATTATTTTCTTAATTTTGATACTAAATTTACTTATTTAAATGATCTTATCTATTATTTGGATATATAAAGTTTCCATTATTATTTTAATTTTTGGATTAACCATTTTAATTCTTTTCTAAATAGTTATTGTTTGGAAACTATTAAATATTCTAATTAATTCTTTATGAAGAGGTTTATTGATAATTGCTAAGCTAATATTATTGCTATTCATTATTATCAATCAAATGCTATTTACTAATAATTTTATAAAAAAATAATTTAAATTCTATATTATAATACAAAAAATACTATTTATATAAAAATCAATTTACTCTATTTGTGATTGAGTAAGTTTTATTTGCTTAATATTTTCATTTACGCTTTCCTAATATACTTAAAATTTTGGAGCATCCATCTTTTTTCTGAACATTTACAACTCATTAATTATGATGTCAACAGTAGAAATAAGTAGCTCTGCAGTTTATTTTGTTAAAATTTTATTTACCTGCTTCAATTTATCAAATAAACTTTTATAATTCTCAAAAATGTTAATGTCACTTTTATTACTACAATCAATCTCCACTTATTATTTTATGATATTTTCAAAATTTTTTGAGTAATGGAAGGGAATTTTCATAACTTCAGCTATAATCTTATTTAATCTCTAAGCAAATTGAGTATCTGATTTTCTTTCATCCTCCTCTTTTGCTGCTTTAAGAAGCTCTTTTAGTATTTAGTAATACTTACTTTCGATGTTCATTTCTATGAATGATATTTTAATTTATTCAATAATTTAATTAATATTATGTATTTTGTTAGTATATTATTGATCTAATTGATATCTATCCAATATTAATAATTTTCTTTAGATATTCTATCTTTTTGTTTTAAAAATCACAATAAAATTATAAAATAGTTTTATTTTTTAAAAATAAATTTTCATGTAAAATCTTACTTAAAATATAGAAACAAACAAACATAATTATTTTTAAATCTTTGAAATATCTAGACATTATTAGTTTAAAAAAAATTAATAAAAAGTTTAGCAATAAATTAAATAAA